ATTTCTTATTTAATTCAATACTTAATTTAAACTATCTTTCTTCACTAGTGCATTTGTCATCAACAAATCATGATGGAATGCAGATCTTTATGACTACCCTAACCAACTCATGCTCCTTAATCTAATTTCTAAGCACTTTTCATGTTTTTTCTGTCTATATCCATTCAAGCTGGTGACTCCATAATGAATACTGAATGTATATGGCAGTATCTACTTGGTTATTAATCTTGTATGTTTCTGTGTGGAAATAGTAGAGCAATCTTAATAAGGTTTGAAGGCTGCTGAGACTTACTGATGTCCTGTTAGCACAGAATTGTGGCTTACTCTGGGAAAGGCTGGAAAGTATGAACAGGAGGCACATGTAAAGAAGACTGCAGAACAGGTTTGGAATCCTAAAACCACTGCTGTCCACTGAGTCTAAAGCAGTAAACCATACAGGCCAAATCTAGAGAGAAAATCTGATTTAGTTGTTACTCTGTTTTTCTGAGTCACCCAGAAACAGGAAGCATTAAAGTTCTCTGAAACCACAACATCCAAAACTTAAAAATCAATTTCCTTAGACTGATGGCTGTATCACATTTTCATGGTTTTGTTTTCTGTTGAAGTCAGTTGAGAGTAAATCTAGAAATGCAATTTGTGTTACAAATACATCTTTACTCTTCACTTTCTAATGTCTTAAGACTCATGTTTGGGTTTTAGCTGCTGCCACAGAAACCAAATAAATCAGTGACTATCAGCTAGAGAAGGAGAATGGCTGGATTTAGCTCTCAAGGTTTATTAAATTCTTAATTTTTTAGTTGTTTCATTTTAATTGAAGAGCTGTTCATTTCTTTTCTGTGATGCAAGGAATGTGTATATCTGTGCTTTGACAAATTTGGATTGGATATTTTCTCCTGTAGATGCACTATTATTCCAGTTATTCCAGATAATGTTTAGTGTCTTCAGAAGAATCACATATACATGCTATAAATTTTCCTCAGCTGCAGGAAGAATAGCAGATGTCAGCTCTATGTAGAATCAACCTGATGTACGTATTGCCTCTTAGGCAAGGCTTAATTTACACTTGAACAAATGCTAGGTAACACTAGACTGCTCTAGATTTGTAAAAATGCAATTGAAAGAGTAAAAATATTATGTTCTTATATGGTATCATTATTACCATTCAAGATTTTTTTAGTTCAGTATTAAGCTGCTGGAAAATGCTCTACATTGGGCTAATTTACAGATAAAGTTTTTAACAGAGACTTGAAACTGTGCAATAGAATTTGCTTAAGACTTGAGTGTGACTTAAGTGAAATAAACTAAATTCTTTAATTCATATGAATATATATCTCAATGAAATTATCAAGCAGCAGTCACTAATATTATGAAACAGGCATTGTAAACGCTGGTCTAATTTCTCCTTTAGTTAAAATACTTCTGCTTTATTCCATAGTCCTCAGTTTTTAATTTATGATGACTTTCTCTTTTTGGTGTGAGATGGAGAACTGAGAACATAATACATCTTGTTTTTTCCAAATTGATGAAAACCATTAAAACTGAAATGGAACTTCCTCATTTTGCTTTTAATACAACTTCATTTTGTGAATTTGCCTTTGTGGAATATTAGTTGAAGACAACATAAATTAGTTTTGGTTTCTGAAAAATGTCTGTACTCTAAAAATTCAAGTTCAAAATTGTAAGTATGGTATAGTAGTGAAATTAAAGAAGTTCTCACAAAGTTAGAAAATTGTTCTTCAGAAAATGATGCCAAACTATTTTTAAAATAGTAATAATAATATTACAGTTACTGAAGAAAATGTCCTTCTGTAACCACACCATTATCTCAGCTGGGTTTTGTGCTAGAAAAAATGTCATTAGCTATAACACCAGGCTCCACAAGAGAGTTAGACATGTCATGTTTTAGAGGACAAGAATACCATATTTGTGATATCTTTGCACAGAAGAAAAGGCAGCATGTGATCTTGACGATATTTTGAACACTGGAAATGCTAGAGGTCATAGTGAGCTGTAATTCTTCTCAGAATAAGTGGTGAACCTATGGTGTTGAATTTTCACTGGGAGAAAAGGGACACACACAATGGGAGAAAGGGAGAAAAAGTATACACACAATGTTAAAAAAAATAAAAAATGTGATGAATAAATTGAGCCAGAAATTCTGACAGTTGGAGATTAAAACCTCTTGAAGAGAATGTCTGGTCTAGCAATAACTAACTTAGCTTGACCATTCCTCTGGGAACTTGTGGTGCAAACAGGACTTCTATGAGGCTGATCTGCTGTTGATGGGGCTGAGACATAAAACATCTCTTCCTCATCTGACCTTGACATTGGTCTCAATTGCAAACTTTTCTCTTTTTTTATCCTTTCCCAACGTCCCAAGAGAAGAACATGCCCAGTTTTTGATTACATATTATGCGTATGTTTGAATGATCAAAAGAGATCAACTTGTCACAGCTTAGAGAATTAACACTTTTCAGAAAAATGCAGTGTCTACAACTGTGGCTCATTTCAAATGCAGACTTTTGTATTTACATGCTTGCACAGTCTTTAAAATGATCTTTCTTTTCTCTTGTAAAAAAAAAAAAATTACAATAATTGTACTTCGATTTCAGATAAGGCTGACAGAACAGTGAAGTACAAATACAAAATACTATTGTTTCTTAATAAAGAATTGAAAATTTAACATCCAACTTTCTTATAGTGCTAAATAGAAAAATTAAGAAAATTTTATCAATCATTGTGGTTATGTTTCTTAGCCACTTATTTGACTTACCATATAATAATAATCCATATTAAATCTCATGGTTTAACACCTCATTTAATCACCTCTGTCTTAGGAAAGTTCAATTTACAACCAATTCCAATAACAAAATAAGTTGTCCTAATTGCTCAGAGCAATAAACACTGCTGGAGAACAAGGAGCAGATAAATAGAGTAGAAGTATATGGACAATAAAAATGGCTAAAAATAAATGCTTAATTTTGGTTTTGCATAAAATGAGTTCCAAAATGAAAATGGATAAATGAAATAATTCATCAAATTGATACATTTCAAAACCAGCCAGGTTTCAGCACAATTATATAGTCAAGTCCCAGTGAAATGTGACTTGAATTAAATTCAGACAATTACAGACTGCATCAACAGTTTTCTGGTTGTGCTTAGGAGCTGGCCTCGCCTGGATGCCTGCAAGGTAAAGAATAAAGTCAAAATAAGATTTCATTAATGAAAGTATTTGTTAAAGCTGGTTAAAGCAAACAGAAAACAACAGAAGCTTTTAAAGAAAGGGAGTGACAGAGAATGCCAGTATGCTGGAGGAAAAAATTAAGTTTACTTATCAAAGAAACAAATTAGATGAACACATTTATTTGAATATTCTTAATTCTGTGTTGAATTCCTACTGAAACTTCTTGATCAATTCAAAGATCCCAGTCATGAAGCTCTCACTCCTTTATTTTGGGGCATGTACCTGGGAAGGATGAGTTACAGCAAAAAGATTTATGTTGATGTGCCTCTGTGTAAGGCATTTTCCTTAACTGACCATCTTGCCTCCCACACCAGTATTGACCAGCAGGAACTACAAGGCAGTCTTCCACTGGTAAAAACTGTGGGCAGAGAATAAAAGCACAAGTCTTTGATAGAGAGTCTTGTCTATTCCAGATGCCTAAATAACCATAACTGTTATGTGATTCAGCACAAAACTTGTTTTCCAGCAATAGCAACTTGTTAATCTATGCAAAGTTATGCATTTTCATTTTAGTATCCAAATCCTTAAGTGACTATATTCACAATTACCATCTTTGTTTGCTCAAGATGAGAGTCTGCTGCTTTCAGATCTGTTAGATCTGGATTTGATTTGGTCTCCAGTAATTACCAAGAAGATGGTTGCTATAGCTGCACTAATGAAAGGGGTAATCATCTTCCCTTGAAGACAGTGTAAGCAAGCACAAATAAATTAAAAAAAAAATCACATAGAATCACAGAATTGCAGGGGTTGGAAGGGAGCTGGAGGGATGGACATGAGTAGTATAAATGAGATATCACCGCAACAGTGAAAATAAGATTTTATCCCTTTTCAGTCTCTTAAAATACATCAACCTGGCAACACTCCACTCACCATTTAGCTTGAGCCAGTACAAGTTTTTGATAGATATTTAAAGTATTATTTGTTTTATAGGATTATCTTCATCAAAATTTGAGTCATATTTTGTAGCACTTATTCACGTTGCCATAATTTACAGTGACAGTCTGTTTCCATAGTTGTTCTGATTACTATTATGGCAGTAACAGGCACATAGTTGAAAGTATTGAAGCCAAGAACACAGGGAAGTTTTATTTTAAATTGAATTTTAAAAAAATCCAATTAATTTTCAGTTAACTTTGTCAACTCCAATTCACTGAATTTGGATTTAAGTGCAATTCTCTTAAACAAACTTACTCTGAATCAGTGAAATAGTCTTACAATGTAGCATTATGTAGCAGATGTGTACCAATATTAGTATTAAGGTGGAAAAGTTCATAGGGGCTGATCCTAGTAAGGTCACCATGGGATAAGCTTTCTTCACCATAACAGAATATGGGAAACATCCCATAAACAGCGATTACTGGAACACTATCCTTATATCACTACATATTCTATTAGTAGATGGGAATTGCTTACCTGAATTATTCAATACTCTTTTAATAGATCTTAATCTTTCTTGAAAATGCTGTGTAATGCTAACGTATTATCTTGTTACTAGGTTAGACAGAGGTATGTTTCTTTTTGGAGACGCTAGATATTGGAACAACACTGGTTGATGAATAAAATCAGTGGTGCTTATTTTACTGCAAATCTTTTGCTACCTATTCAATATATTTGATATTTTAAGGGAAGAATGCAAGTATCACATGGCCAAATTACACTAGTTGGAAGCACTGCTGTTACTGTTGTTATCTGATTTCTGATTCTGACTTAGCACTTTGAAAACTGTATTCTTTTTCTTCTCTGCTTTATTTTCCAGTTAACTTTGACCATTTTCAAATATTGCGGGCTATTGGCAAAGGGAGTTTTGGAAAGGTAAGGATTAATTTATTTTTAACAGTCAAAAATTTACTAGAGAATTCATTTGTGTTTTTCTACCCTTGACCAGATAAAGGAATGTAAGTTTGGTTGTCTTTTGCTTCTCAAGGACATCTGATCACAATCACAATGACTTTCATTATAAGCTTTTCTGTTACAATTTATTCTGTAAAGCTAATTGAGTAAAAATGTTTTAATAATTAAGCCTTTTCAATGAGGATTAGCAAAGTTAAGAAATCAGTCCCCAAAACAAGAACACAAAAAAAAGTAGAAGCAGTCTACGCTTTTGGAACATCTACTCAAGCAATCTTGCTTTGAAATCATTGTACTCATTCATGTACTTAAAGTTATTGTAATATTTTAAAGACACTTTACATAGATTCACTGCACTTGGGAACTGTATAAAATTACTGTAATTGTGATCATTGATTAAATATTTGTTCAATTCAGTGGGGTTTTGCTGAAACAGAGAAGATTCATGTTTTGTTTACACATGAGTAGATGATCTTTTTTACTAAAATAAAGACCATAACAAAGTTTTAAATTTTAATGTGGTTTAAAACAAGGCCATGCAGAAAATTATAGTACAAAAATACTAGAAGCCATAAGAAATAAATTTGGAAATGAAACATAACTTCAGTAGCTGATCAAGCAATAATGATAAGATCTAGATCTTGATTTAAATTATACTTGAGAAATACTCCTGTATTTCTACATTAAACACATACCTAGGATTTTGTTGGCTCTTGGCCTTTCACATGGAAAAATAGCTTCCAGTTTACAGTAGTCTGAAATACTTTGTGCAAAAGAACATGGTCCTCCGTGGCATGGTCCTTATTCACCTCAGTAAATTCCAACAGAAGCCCTCTCTGGGTATCAAACAGGAGAATATATTTTGCCAGTGCAAAATGGTGGCCAAGAATCCTTTATAAGTCAAGGCAGCCAGAAATTTGTAATTGCTTATTGTCACAATACATCACATCACTGGAATATCAAATCAAGTCAAACAGAGATCCCCTTCATGTAGTGAAGTTAGGTCCAGAGTAAGTAATAGAAAGTTTATTTAAATCTTGCTGTCCATCACAAAGATCACCTGCACACCTCCTTCTTTAAAGTTTCTCCATTCACACCTCTGTTGTCTCTGCTTTCTCAAAGGGGCCCTCACCCTCCCATGACATGCAGAAAAAGTAACACAAGCCTACATGCTTTTTGAAGACTTGGTTGATGACTGATAGACTCTTCTCCATGGTATTTAGGAAACAATTGTGAATGTTTCTAGTGAATGTTTCTATAATATTTCTTAAACATCTAATTGTTTTTGTATGGCTGTTCTTGTGAACCTGCTTTAGGAATATGTATGTTTGGGAATAGTTTCACAACCCTTAGGGACTATTATTTATGTGTATGGTCCCCTTTAAACTTAAATCCTTATTTTGTAGTTGTCAGTGAAACAGAACAGACTTTGGCACAACAGGCTTGTTTTTCCCAAACCAATGCAAGCTTCCAGCCAATGGCCTGATTTTGCTTTCCACAGTGAGGGTAAGAAAGTAACCCTTTTAGAAATGACATATTATACCACAGCCAAAAGCACAGCATGGTATATCAGTCACAATTTCAAGTGTCTATGAGTCAGTCTTGCCTTTGCCATTCATTCAGAAGCCTCATTGCTGGCAACTTTTCCAATTACTGTCTTTGTGGGAGCACCTGGCAGCAGAAAATGTCAACAAATGATGCAAGAGCTCTAATCTGTATTGAATCGCTGTTTACTGTTTGGGGTCTATTGTGCTCTAGCATCCTGCAACATGTAAAACCATGTTAGGTATTACATTTTTCTCAAACTGCCTTCTGCCTTTATGACTGCTCTATGGCCTTTTTTGCCTTCTGAGAGCAGTAGGATTTTTAAGGCATGCTCTACTTTTTATCCTTTATTTATTTATTTTTTATTGCTATTGGTACAATTGTCTTCCAAGATTTCTTAAAGTACTTTGGTTGCTACAGCAACATTAGGCCTCCACAGGACATTGCTGCAGGAGGTGTCTGCTATTGGCAGAGACCCCTCACTGCTCAGCTCTTCTTAGTGCACTGAGTTCGAGGTAACTCTCAGCACCTTCCCTCCTCCACTGGGGATGAATGCTTCAGCAGCTATACTCTGTCCCTCCCAGCTGGCTTCAGAAGGCAGCTTCCTGTCTTCTACTCTGGAATTTTCATATCAGAGTAGTAACATCTGCTGTTATAGGAATTTTCCTGGTTCATTTGGTATCAAAGGCTCTGTATCTCAAAAGCTTGTCTTTTCTGAGAAGTGGCCTCCCATTTTAAACAACTGCACTAAAACATATTCTTCTCCTAAGGACATTTAAGGCAGTAGAGTCTCCCACCCCCTGTAGCACATTCTGTGAGGAAGGTAAAGATGCATCACATCAGTTGTGAGGAGTTTAGGATAAAAGGAAAAAAAAAACAACTCCATGGAGCTTTCATTCGTATATTAAATATTGTTCTAAGTAAACTCAGAAGTGGATGATATAAAATCCACAAAATAAAACTTCTGAACACTGGTCTAAATAGTCATTTCTTTATGCTGTCATACCTTAGAAGTATTCTCTCATATTTAATCTGGCTAAATTTATCTGTTTTGTTCTATGTAGAGCCATCATTATCAACCAAAATATCACAAAAATATATATACTTGAAGACTGTCCGACAACTACAAAATTGACTTAGATTGAAATACAAGAATTACCATTTTTCTTTACTGCAACAGTAATTGCAGGCTTACTGCCACGAAAATAGTTTGTATTCAGGTGCAGGTGGTTTCTAGGAAAATTACAATACCATTTTTCTTCAAGGTCTTTGTATCTGTGAGCAGGTATATTGAACAATCTGACCTACTTAAATCAAATTCAAATTATGATAAGAATATACTGATTCTTTTTCCTATTTCTCTAAGATGCTGAGACATAGGACTTAGTTCTTATTAATTTGGTTGTATAAAAGAGTGACTTCCTGAATTGAAATTGCCATGGTGTAAAACAGATGGGAGCCCATAATCACATCTGCACTGATCAAGGATACTTCACTAAATAATATGCAAAGAATTTCAGAATAAATCTCCTGTTATCTTTAAAGTAACATAACACACAGCCTCAGAATATTAGTATTGTTTGACAGTATAACCACCAACTTATTCAGATTGAGTTAATATGAAAGGATACCAAGCAGATGCTCAGCTTCTTCTCCAGCTGTCATACTTTGCTCAGGGGAATCTAGGAATGAATCCTTCTATTTCATGGGAATTCCCTAACAGTGTAAATTCAAACTTACGACATCAAGTCTCCAGCCTCTTTGTGTAAATCTTTCCACTTGTAGGCTGAAAAAATGATCATTCATTTTTTAGAGTGTGTATGTAAAAACATACGTGCGATTTTTCTGCTTCATAGCAGATTTGTTGGTTCACTGACTTCACGTTAGTGGGAAAGTCTAGCTTTTTATGCATCCCCACCTTTTGGGAAAAGCTTCTCTGAATCTACCTATAACTGCTCCTTCATAGCAGTATACACCTTTGGCAGCAAACCAGTAGGAAATTCTGTACAATTTTCATTCCATATAACTCTGATATCCTTTCCCCAGATCTGCCCATGGGGAACTCAGTCATCCATAACAGTCTTAATGCAAGGTAACCTATTAATCTGCAGGTAATCTGTTTTTTCATTTGGATGAAGTTAGTGATGGTAGTTTAGAAGTGAACTCTCTGAAGTGTAGTTTAGCCCTCCAGTGATAATCTATGGGTTTTGTTCTTTTGGTTCTAAGAGTAAATGTCTCCAAGTTTTGGCTAATTGCTTTTAACTTTGTAGATCTGAAAGTAATTCAGAGTTTCCCTCTCCTAGATATAAAAAAGACACAACCCTGTGGTAACAACTAAAACACATAGCCCTTTTAGGAAAAGAGTATTTGCACACAAGACTTCTAAGATAAGCACAGTTTAAATCCAGACAAAATTACTGAGGATTTGTACTGCCTAGCTTTCAACTTCCCTACATCCAAGCTAATCATGTAGAGTCACTTTAGAGAGACTTCAGAAGAGAAGACATATTAGAGCATTTAGACTCATAACTTAGTGAGAAATGGGTATTCCTGTTCCCCCCTCCTGACTCTGAAGCTATATGGGGTTTGAAGTATCTCCACAGGGACTGCTGAAGCAGTGATATCAATTTGATCAGGGCACAGCAAATGATATTCATAGGAAAATAGAAAGATGATGTTTTATTAATGTGTGCATGACAGGCTTCCATGCTGATATGTGTAAATAAGGCAATTCTGCTCAGACTTCCACAATAATGAATCACAGAACTTTGTTGAGGTGGCAGACCACCTGTGTGTCCCCACTTTAAAATTTCTCCATTGGAAAAAAAGTCAACCATAAACTAACAAAAAAAAAAAAAAAGAAACATTTCCCATTAGGATTGCTAATGGCCCAGGAGAGCTGGAGGGTTTTGCTTTCTTTCTTGCAGCAGAGGAGCATTTTTTTGCCCATTAACAGTGGGCTCAGAACAGCACATTAGCAGTGCTCAGAAGAACTGCTGACAGCCATCATGTAAAAATGCCAGGAAGGATCTCCTCTACTATTCAGCACTGTCACAGAAATGTCAGGCATTTTTCAAAGTAACATTGATGTATTTGCAGCTTGGAATTCTTGATATTTAGCAAAAATAACTTTTGTGTATTAATAGAAGTACCATTGATTTTGAAACCACGTTAGAAGATGTGAATAGATACTCTGCTGCTAACAAACGCTTCCTTTGGTTGCGTTAGCTAAATGTTAAGCAACCTTTTACTAGCAACATGTGTGCTCTTGACTAGAAAATTTTAGCTGTGCTTAATGCCCCTGTCTCAAGGTGAGAGAACCAAAATCCTTCTGGAGTCACATCAGTGTTTTAAAACTGATTCCGTTTACGTTCTCTATTCAGGTGTTGTATGTGAACTTTGTTTGGCTCATTTGTCACACCTGTCAATTCTCAGCTGAGTAAAGGCCCATTTTCCCAGCAGTCTTACTGATGAACTATTTAATACAGATGTTTTTCAAATAATGGAAAAGGAAATGTACAAACGTACAAACATCATGGTCTCAGCCAAATTTCATATGAAAATCATGCTGCAAATTCAGGTAAGCGAATGAACTCCTGAACTTAGATTCCAAACTACTTAAGTACTTGTACTTATGAAGAAGCTGTGGAAGCCTCAGCTGCTTTCTCCGTTTCAGTTCAGCTCCACCTGCTGTCTCTTCTCTAAAAAGGCCATTTCCTCACTGTTCCATAGCTTGGGTTCTTTCTGTATCAGTTTAATCCTTTAATTATCTTCAGGACATCACAAGTATTCTGTCCTTGCATAACGTCACAAGGAAGAAAAAGAAACAAAACTTTAGTACTTACCACTGTACAACACCAATGGGCTCAAGATGAAACACTCTCATCCATGTTTTGTTTAATTAGCAGAACATCTGATATTAGGAAAGGTAATCAGAAACTGCTTAATCCACCTTGTCATTATAAGTTAAAAATTTTCTGTTAACTCCTATATTTAGAGTAGATTTGAGCTCAAGGATGTTCTTCATGGAAAAGGAGTTGTAGAGAAACAAATGTGGTTCATTTTCACTGGGACAGTTCCTCTTGAGATACTGGAAAAAGGCAGGGGAAATAAAATATGCTGATTTTAGGCTCCTGATGCCTTTCCTCTGAGATTAAAATAGAAGTGAATATGTGGTATGACTCTCTACAGCCCTCATCCTAGTTCTAGTGGTTTATTAGCAGGCTGTGTATCCAGAAGGCATCTTTTAAAACACCTCAGTCCTTCCAGATCACTTATGCATTTTGCGTATGCAAGTTCATTAAAATACAGCACAAAATTCCTTTTCTTTTTTATAGTGTACTGCAATTTGATCTTTGAGCACTGATATTAGATGCATGTATATATGCATATATTATAATATGGGAATATGTGTGTATTTGTATGTACATAAATATGCAAATAAAATAATACTGCCCATGTACATAAATATGCAAATAGACTAATTCTGCCCACACCAAATAAATCCTTCATAACTCCCTTGTACTTGATTCCACCAAAGCGGTGAGATCTAAACAAGATGCTTCCAATGCATGTTCTTCATACACTTGATGGTGAAAAATTCTGATTGGAGCTGATGGCTGTATCAGTGATATGAATGTTACATCAAAATAAAATCTTCAGCTGGTATTCTCTTGGCTGTCAAGATGCACTAGGAGTGTCATTTTAAAAAAGTCTTGATTAATGGAAAAAAACCTTCAGAGTAAAAGTCTACTTATGATAGAGTTTTGCCCCATGGGTGAGTGTAGGGAAGTTATAAAGATGAGATTCATACCACCTTTGGGGATGAGATACAGATGAAGCTATTATTTCGGTGTTATTGAAAATCGTATGTAAAATGATGATTGTTAGATGTGGTGCTGGTGACACTCTCTAGCTTCATTCTCAAGGGAAATACTATGATGACAAATAGAATTTAAAAAATCTGGGTTTTAGATAGGAGCTCATTAGAATGAGATTTTCATGTTGCATTTACAAAATTATTTGACTTTAGTAAAAATAAATAAATAAATAAATAAATAAGAAGAAAAATAAAGCAATTTATTTCCAGAGATTAAATCAGTGTAACTGTGACTTCAAAAACAGCATGATGTAGCTCTGTACAAAGATATATTTTTATCTTCAATAACAATTAAAAGAGAATAATTCTGATATCAAGATGAAATATTAGCCTTCTGAACATAGGCAATGTTTATGACACAGTAATCATGAAGTGTGTATTGACTTATGTGAATGAGGACACTGACTGTGCATTTTCCTAGACAGGAGGCAGTAATTTCTGTGACTCACAAAATAGCCTATGATTCAATATAATTGAGTGTATTTCTCTTAGATAAACTGCAACTGGAAGTTCTATCACTTTTCTGAGTTTCCCAGCATGTTGGCTTACGAAGTGATTACAAAGAATTCTGCTTAGCTGCGACATGGACTTTATGAAAGTGTTTGGTTGAATTTCATTTTGTGTTAAACTTTATTGTTTACTTTGCTGTTAATTAGGTGTGCATTGTACAGAAGAGAGACACCAAGAAAATGTATGCCATGAAATACATGAATAAACAGAAGTGCATTGAGAGAGATGAAGTTCGGAATGTTTTTCGGGAGCTACAGATCATGCAAGGCCTAGAGCATCCCTTCCTAGTCAACCTGTGGTAAGAAACCCTTTAAAATTCTGTCAAGGATTTCTTCCTTTCTCCTTACTGCTGAATTGGTTCAGGATGGAAAACTGAAAATATTTTTTTAAATGGTGACTTTTTTTTAATGTACTTTTGTTTTGAGATTTTTATTTTTCATTAATGTTTTAAAAATGCTCTTTAATACTTAAATACATTCTCATTTTCCTTTCTGGTGTAGCTTCTCTCCAGATTGTTACAGCAGTGAATGTGCACTGTTCCGCCCATCTTCACTGTTTCTTTCTGACAGTACTTGGATTAGACAACTGTTGTAAGGTTGCAAAATATCAAAACTAAGCATTCAATAAAAAACATTTTGAGTCAATTCAAAAACAAATTCGAGATTCAACCACTCTTAAAAAAATGGTGAACACTGACACAGACCAATGGGAATGAACCTTTTTGTCATCTGGAATTTCTAATATCTTCTCTGTCATAGCCAATGAATGGCTCATTCAGAGACAAGAAAGTGTTGTGAGAAAATGTTGGTCAAGTAATGACTAGCTTTAGCTACACCAATCAATTAAAATATTTGATGGCTTTTATGTAGTGATATTCATAATGAGATACAGATTTTTCCTCCCTTATCTAAAAATGACCTATGTAATAATAAAAAGGATACATAAATCATTATGTGATTTTTTTTTTCTTCAGTTAGTGAACAGCTTGATTGTCCAGAAATGGTCACAGCACAAACAGCATTCTGAGTGTTTTTTTCTATCTTACTGGAGGTCAATGTCTACCCTACAATATTTTTCTTCTCTCCTGCATATGTGGGAAATTTCATGTTGTCATCCTAACACCTTTCATGATCTAAAAGCTAAATTATTTTCTGGCTTGAGTGAGCACAGCTTTGGTGTAATTGCACCCACTTAAAGCAGCAGAGTATTTGTTCCCAAAATTCATTTAGAAAGGGTCTAATCATATACATATGCCTCAAGTGCTCTTCTCTTGACATGGATGATAATACTTGAGCTAACCTAATGACCCGTTAGAAGCTTAAAGGAAAATTGCACACATTACAACAGTAATACAGATCTTTTGTTCTGTATTCTCCAAGGTTCCAGCAACGTTTCCTCCATGGATTTCATCACCAAAAGCATGATATCTCTGATCTTAAGAACATGTGGAAATTTCAGTCATGCATTTGTGTAGCCTCTTTTGAACCCATGCAAACTTTTTTTCTTTAACAAGAAAAGACAAATATTTCCACTGTGTAACTAGACATTGTGCAGAAACAATCATAGGCTAATGTGACTGACAAGATACTTCAGTAAATATAACAATGTTATAAATAAATATCAAACATTTATTGTGAAACAAAAAGTAGGTTAGATTCCAATTACCCAGTTATAATCAGCTAAGGAATATTCATTCTTGTCTTCCTCTTTTAAGCCAAATATTAACCTTGGAATAGATAATACCTGGGTGTGATGATGATTTTTTTTGCAAATAATTAATTTCTTCTTATATTTCTAAAACACTATCAGAAGATCTCGAGACTCAAATGTTATACTACATCTATGCATGAGAAAAATAGAAAATGAAAAACAACTGTAATACACTAGAATTAGAAAAATGTTTCAGGTGAGAAGAGCACTATTCAGGATTCACCAGTGCATGTGGAACAATATTCCACATTTAATGCCTCCAGTAATGCTTAAAGCTGACCGGTCTACCTAGGATGCTATTCTGGGAGGATGACATGAGTTTTCTTTGAAGGTATCAGGCCAGACTATCAGATCATGTAATCACTGACAGAACATCTGTCAGAGATGGTGCCTAAAATTTATCACCTGCATGATAGCTTGTGGCCAAGCTCAGCAACCAAAGTTCCTGTCTCCCAGGATGTGCTTCCAATGTTCTTTGTCAAACTTGATCACGATATGAGAGAAGATAATATGCAATAACTTGAAGGCTCATATCAAGATTTAAAAGCAGTGACTGCATTCAAGGATTCATGTCAAGCCATGCAATTCACCTGTACAATCATACAGGTTACATATGCATATATTTCTGTAGCATACACAGCTCTGAATAGCCAGAAACGTCTATGTAGGTATTCTTTGATTTTTCTTACAGCTAAAATGTGGTTTCACAAAGGTACATCTAAGCAAGAAGGGGGAAGAGCATCTGGGAACACTCCCTGGCATGGCCTGGTGCAGCTGGAACATTTGGGTGCACCCAAATGGCTCCCAGGATTGCTCCAGAGTCATAACATCCCCGAGATCACCCTGGTGTGGCTAGCAGAGGTACAAAGAGTTCCCTGCCAGCTAGTCTTGGTGCTCAGAAATACACTTCAGCATGTTTAGTCTGCTGGTATAATCAGAGAATAGCTAAGCTGCGGGGCATCCCATCCTAGTGACTTCTCTACATTCTTCCTAAAAAAAGGGCAAGTACATGATCAAATGCTGGATATATGCAATATTACTGAGACTAAGGGGCTAAGACATGCAAAATTAGAGCTGGAGAAAATTAACCAAAACCAATTTAATTGACAATACTTAGCATTTTCAGCCTAGAGTGTTTAAATCAAGTATTGAATATTCAAATTTCCAGTAATTCCAACTCCTGACTCCAAAGAAAGGTGTCAAACTATATTTCACCTTGGGATATCATGCCAAAGAGATGTTTTGAATCCAGGCCTCCCCCAAATAACTTGTTCCATAAGATGTATCTATAATTAGCCTTGCACAATCATAAGTGTGTTTAAAATACCTTCTTACATATTTCTGGGACATCTAAGCTTGTAGATGTAGTTGCATATTCCCAATCTTCAAATGTTTAATATTTGCCCAAATTTCAAGATATTCAGCATCTTGTCTTTAAATTACGACTTCTGTTGTTGAACTACAACTGAGGCAAAACACAAAAATCACAAGGGACTTATGAATATTGATCTAATGTATTTTATCAACACTGAGCCACATGAAGCTACTAAATGTATTAAAAATATTGCCTTTAGTTATTGAAACTACATTTTTAAAAATATATTAGAATGAAAAGTGGAACACTGTATGTACAAATGGGATATTCCTTAAATATGTTTTGCATTCTCAGCAATATCTCTTAGAATATCAGCATTTTCATTGATTGTTTGTGAATTAGCAGCTTGTTTAATGTCTTTTCACTTGCAGTCTAGATACAATAATAATTTGCATCAAGTATGGCTATGTTGTAGTTATAACATATATTAGATTATTATCAGGAATCTATAAGATTTCCTCTTAGGAGACAATTCCTGGCATACTAATGGAAGAAGACAGTTGAAGCTTCATTTCTTCTATAATAGCTGCAATTACATTTGTGGTTTTTCTTTTTCTAAGTCAGCTTTTTTCCCCTGATCATTTTATTGGTTGCATTGTAAATGTACAAATGGAACTGCAACAGGAGCTACTAACTCATGTCTAATAAACCGTAAAACGGAATAAAAAGAGACAGTTATTTCATGCTATGGGCATGAACAGGCCTACATCTTGCATAAATGTTGGGTTCCCTTTGACCGTACCATTTTTGACTAATTTGTCTTTCAAGATTCTATCACACTCACTAAGGGTCAGTGTTTTCATATCATTTTTCAGGAATCCCACTTAAGATGCAATTTTGGTGAATAAAACAGAGAAATCCATCAGCCTACTAAACTTAAGAGGCATCTCCCTACTTTCATAGGGTATCTAGCTTTGATTTCTAACATATTCAGAAATAGCTATTCTGAGAAGTACCAATTCTGCCACCTAAAGCCCCATTGTAAGCTTTATTTAAATTGACAACTAGACTGTTCATCTAATTAATAAATGACTAACACTCCTATAGTAAGTCAGAAATTCAGTTGGCAGATTCCTATCAAGATGAGTAGTGGTGCACAACTTTTCCAAACTGGTGGCATATGGTTGTTTTACATTAGATTTTCATTGGATAAAAGCCAAAATCAGGATTATGAACTGTAGTAAAGTTCACACAAACTACTTTGTGGGTTTCTGGTTAAAACACCTTGTAGTCTATGGAAAACAAAGAATTTGACTTCCCAGGAGGAGAAGAAAATTAATGGTAATATTATTAATTGTAATGATTGAATGGTAATATCCAGCCCTTGTAGAAATACATACTAAAATTAATGTAGCATTAAATCTCCCAACAGTTCCTTGTATCAAAGGGAATACTAACCAAGCACATATCTTTCTCTGAGGAACTGCATCATCAAAGAGAAAAGTTGAAAACCAGGAAACAAATATGAAGACAAGTCTTTTAGTTACATATTATAGATGTACAAAGAGGTAATGAGAAATGTAATCTGTTAAATCCTTCTGTGAAGAAATAAGAGGAAAGAAAGTAAACTTTTTTTTAGTGGGCAACTGTTAGCATCCATCTGTAATCCCAACATATAAAAGAATACAGAGCAGCTAATAGAAAACATGAGTAGCATCTTGTGATTTCAGAAGTTTTATATTAAAAAGCTTTTTGAGGCTCATGCATCTTCTCTGACCTTTATTAAATTTAACTTCACCATCTGAACTTAAAATTCATATTATTTGAAGTATGAACTGTCTTTTATAACATCTGACATGGAAAAGAATCATTCTTTGGTAAATGCCCATAATAGCTTGGAGGATAACTGTTTCTCAGGAAGGGCTTGGCAGTGATTTATAACCTTCATTTTAGAAATGAAGTTGAATAAATGCTGAAAGATATGTGAGACTTGTAGCTAGTTTTATCACTGCTAGAGGCATTTCTGGTAGTAGAGATTTCCTCTTAAAATGGAGAGCAGACCTGCAGACCTGTTTTTTATCAGACTCTTTGTGTTTCATAGGTGTTTGAAGCATAGATTTATGAGCTGTAGGAATGTCAGCACCTCACACAGTCCCACCTGGGGACTACAAAATGCTCCTCCAGGATCCAGAATTTTATCTTCTGTTTATCTTCCCCAAATACCTGAATATTCTTGGATCAAGATAAGTAACATTCCTGAAACAATCCATAAT